CATTTGTTAGTGCTCGCTGCGCAACCTGGTATTGATCCATTCACGGAACAGATTGTTGATGGGTTTAGCCTGCTCCAATCAGCTGTCTCTTGGTCTCAGAGGTCCACTGACCCTTCGTTTGCACCTCCGCCATTTACCTGCAAACCGGCTCCTTTTGATGAAGACACTGATCTTCCTATGACTTTTGCAGGACCGAGACGAAATCGACCAAGAAGGCCAGTGTTTGACGGCAATCTTGATTGGACCCACGATCTTGCTGCCGCAATTAGAGCTGATGGAGAACTGGACGTCTGGACTGAAGCCACTACGATCTCCGTCATTACGTGGTTTATTGACCATCATGCCCATCCAATTTGTCGCCAGCCGAGGTTTGTTACACTGAATGGTGAAGTTATAACCTGGATTGATGACCTCAGAATTGCCTGGGCTGATGAGTTAGATCCCAATACAGAGTTTTCTATCCAGATTGTACGACCAAGACCACCACGCCCACGCCACCAAAGGCAAAATCTTCATTTGATCCTTGAACAGAATCGACCAGCTCAGCGAGTTGCCATTATTCTCACTGCACTCTTCGAAAATGCTATATCAGAAGGACTCATCCAAGGTGCATACTCTACACCTAATCGGTTAGATCTTGGAACCGTGATTGACATTATGAATATCAGAGATGCATGTGCCCATCAATTTTGTCGTGTGGCTTTCGACCATCAAATCCTGTTTGCTGGTACATTCTTTGAGGCTGCTCCTGGTAGCAGTGTGAGAATCCATATTGAACCGGACGATGATGACTCCGATAATGCCCATGATCGACATGATGAGGTTACGCTGATGCAGTGCAGTTCTGGATTACAGTGGACACCTCGTAGACGCTCTAATCTTGTACAAGCTGCTGACAGTTCCATGCTTAATCCTATGGCACCTGAATTTGTGCCTGGTACATGTCATCTTTATACGCAAAACGAATTTGTCCAAGATCTTTTTGAGCATTGGCAAGACGTTGCCATATCATTTGAAGGTGAAGCGCACTCTGCCCGCGTTATTACTTGGTTTCTGGATCATAGTTACCTGTATCCCAAGTGCATTGATCCTCGCACCATTGTCCTCTATGATGATTTTGGGCAGTGGGAGAACCAAATTCGTGCAGCTTGGGCTGACCGCCTCCAAGGGGATTGTAGTGTGGAAATTTACCTGGTTTCCCCTACACCCCCTAACCTTGAACCGGGAGTTGCTGCGCACATTGTCGTCATTGCAGCACCACGCGACGACTGGATCTCTGTTTTAGTTACGATGTTTGGGCCTGAACAAACTTCAAGACAAACCCGTGTTGCTATCACGACGCACGAGCACCTTTCCTTTGATCGAGTGATCCAGGCTATTGGGGCCAACAGTATAGGAATTGGTGCTTTGTGCAACCTTTGGTATGAGCAGCACCAGTTCATTGCAAGTCAGCTTTATCCCGGTAGATCTGGATATAGTTTGGTACTTCATACACCGAATACTTTCACTCTTAGTGATTCTCAGGAGTTGGACAGCTTGCCACAACTCCCCTCTGAACCTGAGGTCTGGTATGTGCAGAGCGATGAGATGCATCTATTGCAACGTTCTGCTACCCAACAGGCTATGCCTTCCTTTGTTTCCCGATCACTGAACAAGGTTTCAGAGACACGACTTGCCACATGGTTTCTTGATTCTGACCGTCAGCCTGTATGTTTTCATAGCCGCCTTGTTGTTATCCCAAATGGCTCTGATTCGGATGCGGTCTTCAGGGCTTTTCGTGATACCTGGCAAGATAAGATCACAACATCTGACCAGCTTTCCTTTGCCTGGTTTTCACCTTCTATATGTTCAGGCGAAGAAGTTGTAGGCTTCTGCGCACCAATAAAGAGCGACCTGGTCCCGATATTGGTTGAAGCACGTTTGTCACGTGAGGGTCAAACTGTCTCAGATTGGCGTGCTGCCTTGGTGCAGAGTGGAAGTCCGGCTTCGACTGCCTGGAGTATTTTCGGGGTTGTGCCAGAGAAGGTTACGCCTCGCCAGGCACAGTGTGGGGAATTTCTTATCAATAACCAGCCATGTGGTAATGAGACACTAATTGAAGGCTCAAATGCTGTGATCGTCACATTTAGTTGGTCACCTGACCTGCTTGCGCGGATTCCTATTCAGGTCAATTTTGAGCATGTGCTCAGAGCCCATGACATCCTTGACACACATTTTTTGCTGCCGATCTATGACCTTCCGCCTTCCTTTCCATGGTTACCCACGAGTTGGGAATGGGCCCAGACCTGTTGGTGGACTCCGGGCTGGGCTGGCCATGAAGTTAGGATTTACTATGACGGTTCTAGCCATTGTCACGAGCAGAGCAAAGTTGCAGGAAGTGCCGTTGCTGCTTTTATCAAGTCTGAGGGTGTCTGGTGTTTTGCGGGAGCAATTTCGACTGCCCTTGCACCTGGCACTTCGTCATACAAAGCAGAGCTGTCAGCAGCAGTTTTGGCCCATAAATTCCTGCATGATCTGTTGAAGTTGCTATCGATCTCACAAGACTTTGCTCCAACTGTCGAGCTTTGCTACGATTCACAAACTGTTGGACACCAGGCTGAGGGTTCATGGCAGGTATGGTCTCAGCCACGCATGGGACAGTTTTTGAGGAGTCTTCATCGATGGATTGAACGTAAATTCCAAGTCACCTTGCATCATAAACATGTGGCAGCGCACCAGGGAGAGCCTGGCAATGAACTGGTTGACTGCCTTGCTTATCAAGCTGCTGGGGGGTACCCTTTGCATGACCTTCGGACTTGGATTGATGAGGTCACCAAACCTGACTTTGTTGAAGCGGTTGAATGGATCTGGTACCTCTTTAAGCCTGATGTTAGGTGGAATGGCAACCAGATAGTGTTTCCAGCAGGTCCGTTGACGCAACCTGATGCATCAGTTTTGCCAACCATTACTCCCCAAGTTGAAACCAGCCGAGAGAGGCATGCGGAGCTGAATATCAAGATGGCTACTTGCAATGTGCTGTCCTTGAAACCGTTGCCCCAACCCGACACTGAAAACTCAGCCTTTGCCCCCGCATCCAGCACTGGGCCGGCCAGACAAGAGTCTTTGATAAGACAATTCCATGAAGCTGGAATACATGTTTTTGCTTGGCAGGAGACGCGTCCCCGGAAACTGTACAACCGACATGATGAGAGATATTGGCTATTTCGTAGCCCTGCAACCGCCCATGGCCATTATGGAATTCTGGTTGGTCTCCAGCGTGTATTGCCTATATTGGGCAGGTTGATCAGAAAGAAGTTCATATCCATGAACGCGAAGTCTCTATCATTGCCGCTGCACCTAGATTTCTCATTTTGCCAGTAAGTACCCCGGCCGCCTTCTAAGTGGTTCGACTTCGACTTCGGGTTCGACTTCGGGTTCGGGGTTGGACGGGGAAGAAGAGAGGGGAGAACCGCGGCCACCTCGGAAGTGGTTCGACTTCGACTTCGGGTTCGGAGGTTCGCGAGAGTTGTACTGCGGCAGAGAGGGGACCAGGTTCGGGGCCGACGTCGGGTTCGGAGGTTCGATGGCGGGTTCGGGTTCAAGTGCTGCTTCTTTGGGCAAGGGGGGGAAGGAGGTTCGACTTCGGGTTCGGGTTCGGCTTCGGGTTCGGGGATGGACGTGGAAGAAGAGACGGAAGAACCGCGGCCACCTCGGAAGTGGTTCGACTTCGACTTCGGGTTCGGAGGTTCGCGAAAGTTGTACTGCGAGAGAGAGGTTTGCGTGTAAGGCGGGATCTGTACACAGTATATGGGGGGGGGGCCAGGTTCGGGTTCGACTTCGGGTTCGGAGGTTGGACGGCGGGTTCGGGTTCAGGTGCTACTTGTATGGGCAGGGGGGAAGGAGGTGCGACTTCGGGTTCGGCTGTGGCGGCGACGTTCGCTGTGGAGATTCGACGCGGGTTTCGGTTCACCAAAGATTGTTTGAACGTTTGTCCCTCTTGGGGGGAAGAGGGGGGCGGGAGGAGGGGGGAGGAGGTTCGACTTCGGGTTCGGCGTGGGATGCGACTGCGGGGTGACGTCGGGGTCGGAGGTTCGGGTTCTGGTTCGGGTGTTACTGCGGTGGAGCAATCATTGTCTGCCCATGTGTTGGATTTGTTATGAGCAGGCCAGGGGCGACGTGAGCCTGTGTATGTTCGCAGGGGGTTGGAGTTGGGGTTTCTGTGTGTTTCTGTGGCTTCTGGGCTGGGGGGAGGGCCAGGTGCGATTGCGGGTTCGACGTCGGCTTTGGCTTCAGGAGAAGGGGGGGATCGGTTTGATTGCGGTGTTGGCTTCAAGTATAGGTGCGACTTCGGGTGCAGCGTCAGGAGAGGGTGGGGGGAGCGGTTCGTCTTCGGATGGAAATTCCCGCACCGGTGGGCGTGGGGGGCCGAAGGCGGCGCTTGGGGGGAGGGCCGGGTGCGACGGCGGCTTCGGCCGGGAGGCTATAACGAGAGGTCAGACGGCTAGAGTTCGACGACGTTGTTCGTAAGTAATGCAACATTTCAGAGGCCACTGCGCGGTGTAGCTAGACTTCATACCTTGGACCGGGATACGTTTGTTGCGATGTCTTGTTCGTGATGATGGCCCTGTCACGCACCATGTCCAAACTCCATGACCCACCCACCTGTTGCGACGGCTAGACGCCCGCCGATCATTGAAAGAAGTACTGTAGCAATATGTCTTCTAAGACATGGCATGCAATACCCGGCAGGTCATCTCCTGCATGGCACAAACATCGCGAGGGGATTGAAAACTGAACTGGGGTACGCCTCGCTTGCCTACGTACTGTCCGCACATCTAGCCGAAGCACCCATGAATGCTAGCCGAAGGGCAGAGGCAAAGCGAAGGAGGCCGAAGCTTGCCAAAGCGCAAAGACGTTGACCTGTGGCCAAGTGTGCTACTGCTACTGATGAAGCACATGTGAACGAAAGCTGTGAAGGCAAGACGCACGCGCATCCTGCCAGTGTTTTTGCTGTACGTGTGTCATGGTCGAGGCCGCAGGAAAGGAACTCGTGCAGCGAAACAAGAGCCGCAGCAAAACAACGTCGCATCCTTGAGCACTTTGGCTCGCTGCGGCCTCTGCCCCGTGGCGTCAAAGCGCCAACCGCAGCGTGTCTCCACAGTGCTGATGTCGGAGATTGCATGCACTGTGGAGCTATTGTGGTTCACGACCACTTGGTCATCGGGAGAAGCGGAGGTGAGTTGCAATTCCGCGTCACTTTTCTGTTTCTCGGACGGCTGCGCTAAAGTCTCCGTACTTGCAGCTGGTTCCTCTTGACAATGGACGGTGGGTTGGCGCTTTCTTTTTTTGACTGGTTTTGGCACGCTGCAGGCGCCGTCTCCGTGAGCACCACTGGAGCTTGCAGCTAGCAGGGGTGCAGCGGATGGACGAAGCTGGGCCTGGCAGTATGTGGTCCAAGCCTTCGCACAACTGTGCCGCACATTGTGCTCACGAGCAAAGAGCAACAGAAAAAGTTCTTGGTGCGTAGGCGCAGCATAAGAAAGGACAATCTGCCAGCGGCTAGCAATATGAAAGACTTGCTCAGCAGCCTCAGTGTCAATGCCATGGAGGTCAGGATGCGCAGCTGGATCAACAGCAGGAACAAACCAAGGGCTGGATGGTTGCCGGCAAGCAGAATGGTATCGCAGGTGCAGCCTGTCAACCACCCAGTTCAAAGCGGCTAAGCGTTGCCAAGCTTGCTGGACTGCGACAGGTAGTCCCCCATCCCGCACGCGCTTGCGCACGGTGCGCGCAGCTCCACAAGCATTGTCGTAGATGATAAAGGCCAAGGCAGTGAACAGGGTGAGCAAATGTTGCACCAACAACACGACTTGGGTCACAGACTCTGACGCATACATAGGACGGATGGCCATAATTTGCAGGCAGGGCGATACGGCCACCAAGATGCCGTTGGACTTGCGGGCGACACGGGTCTCAGAGATGCCTTTGCGGTCGTCCTTGTGACCTATATATGGCACGCCCAAAAAAACGGAAAGGAATGTGAAGGATGGAGCACATTGAGAAGGAACACTGAAAAAAATGGAAATATACACAGACTGCTAGTAGATTTATCCCCGCAAGCGACGCGTCACAAATGCATCAGCTGAGGCCGCGGCAACTCAGGCTCATCGATCAAAGTTTCGCGCGCTCTTGGTCGCAGCAAGGTCAGCTCATATGCGCGCAGATTCTCCACAGGTACTGCAGCAGCATCAACCCAAGCACCTTGAAAGAGGTACTGCAAGGAAAGACTGTCATGGGTTTGCTTCTCCCGGTGCTTTTGGATGCCAGAATCTTCTGGCGCTATTGGACATTCACCATGCAATCGGCAATATTTGGATCCAGGCGCTGGCCGAGAACAGCAGCCGCCAAAATAGCCGAGGCAAAGCTGGGGATCCCATACGAGTCCAGAGGTACGATCGTTGCACACAGGTGTCTGGATGGACCATTTACCGTCTATCACACATGCAGGAACTTTGTCAAATAAAGGGCACACATGTTGCATACTCAGAGAATCAAAACCTGCGCGGAGTTTGCGCAACAAAGGTTGAAAGTCTGTGGCTTGATGATGAGGACGCAAATGCCACTGAAAGCCTGACAAGGCTTCAGCATCGGAAGCTTCAAGCAGGAGCATGGACTGATGCACCAAAATTGCGAAGAGGAGCTTCTGGACAAAGTGTTCCCGCGCGGCAAACATAGTTCCATGCATGCCGGTGGACCAAAAGGAGACATAAATGTCATAGAAAGCCGAAGCACTCAAGCCACCACGAGCCATGCATCCGAAGATGAAACGCAAGAAATGGATCTCCCAACACACACTTGGAGTTGCAAAAAACCACCGTGCATCTGCACGGTCTGGTTGCGTATGGCGAGGCCGGTGAAAGCCGTCAGGAAAACGACTGTTTTCGGGCACATCGTCCCATCTCCAGGAGCCACCTGAGCAGCGGCGCTGGGTGGATGTTTTGTTTGGGCCTGGCTTTTTTGGGTCCCGACAACGACATGGAAGAGTGACTATGTTACTACAGACATGCTTGGTATTCAGAAATCCAGCTAGATTGTATCAATGTGAGAACTTGTCGGCACGGAGACGCACTGAGTTGTAGCTAATGAATGCGTGTACCTGCGCGCACATCAAGATATTGAGGTATGAAGTTAGAGACTTGACAATAATGCGACAGTTGTAAGAGTGCCGCGATGTGTCGTAGGAACTCGATAATTATAGTTGAGACGTGTAACGTGGCAGTAAGAAACATGAGAAACGTGAGAAAATGCCGCTGATCTTGGGGCTCGGACCATATACTGCAGAACATGGGAAGCACCGTAGAAAAAGCACTTGTGCTGCAACCAAGCCCCGCGCAAAGGTGAAGCAGTGGGCTTGGACTTGTCGCCACAAAACCAAAGGCCTCCCGCAAGCGCACGTAGAAGGGCCGGAGCAGGGCACAAACTCCAGGACGTTCATGAGCATCTCGGGTTGCTGGGCTGCGAGAACCGGCGTGTATGTAGCAATGGACCTTGGCATCTTCAGTGTGAGGAGGTGTGGCACTGCAGATAGCAAACGGGCCAAAACATGAGACACTGTAGTCGCAGAAGTATTGGGCAGCAAGTGCGCAGCATCGAGCAGGCGGGCAATTGCCGGCGCACGCCCTGGCGCACGCCCTGGCGCTGCATTGGTATGAAAACCCAAGCAGAACCATCCCAAGGTACAAGTTGGAAATGGGGCCATCAGCGCTGCCAGCTCTGCATCTGACACCATATTGGCCATGGATGGACAGCGTGGTGTAATATTTGAACCTCAAGAATGCAACGGCAAACAGGACCGCAGGCACGGCTAGAAGCATGCACCTGACAGCGGTGCTTGAAAATTGCAGAAACAACTACTGACACAGCAAAGAAAAAAACTTAACGGACTGGCTTGGAAGTAAGCTGCAGGTTGCACCCGTTTCGTTTTGTCTGCAAATGTCCGGGCCTGGTGTGTGTGTGTGGGTCAGAATGCTGGACTGTGTACAGCACACAGCTACAGCAGGGAAGCTGAAGCCAAGCCAAATTTTGGTGCATGAATTGGAAATGCCTATCGCTCTGGAGTGAGCGGGTCGTTGAAAATGTCGCCGGGGGCACTTGGAGGATCCTCATCAGTCGAAGCGACGTCGGGAATCTCAGCTTGCGGCAGGTCTGCGATCAAATCTTCATGGAGAGGAGGAGGCGCGGCAGCACCAAAGCCATCATCACGGAGGAGCACGGCTGCAGCTGGCGCCGCAGCTTCGCCGACAGCAAAGTGCAGCCCCAAAGCAGCGCTCAAGCTTTGAAGCACTTCTGTTGACGGTGACACTTTCCAGACTGTGACGGCAGGGGCTCTGGGTGGCCGAGAAGTTGGTCTTTGTACGGATTCTGTGTAACTGTCTAAGGATGGGACGCTGTCTGCTGTCAGCCCCAGGCAGACCAGGATGGGACGCATCTGTGCTGACACTGTCCGCTTTTCAAAGAACCAAATGCCACGGCCACCACCTGCAGTTTTGATGGACCGACACCACTGCCCCAGACCTAAGCTTTGCAGCATGAGGCATGCAAGAAAGACGCCAAAGTGTGTATGCTCCTTCCAAATCTTGGCCAACTTTCTCTTTGCGGCATCAGATTGGTTCCAGTAG